ATTTTTTTGATAATTTTACGTACGACAAAGCAACGTATTGTTGGGATGACTCTGTATGTATAGGTCTATAAATAAATTTTAATGATTTATCTTTTTGACAATTGCTTAGCAGTTTTATAAAATATAGATTTCGTATTTCAATTTTAATTGAATTGTTTTTGTTGTTCAACTTTTTAATAACAATTGTTTCCGATTTGGCAAAATGCAGTTTTTATGTTCTTGGTTTCGACATGAATATTTTAAGTATCAGTCTTTTTCTTCTTCTTCTCTTGCAATGAGTTTTCTCTTCTTATATTTCCCTATATCACTTGACATTTTCTTTTTCTCAGTCCTTAATTTCATTGCAAAATGGATTTTATTAAAATATCAGTATTCCCCAAGAACTACAACAAAACGTTTCCAATAAAATATATAGGGAGTCTATATTATGGATGTATGTAAAATTCTACTTTCTTCAACCACCTGGGATTTCAAATTCAAATTACAGTTGATCGTGGCAAAAATCCCATTTAAAACTAAAAATTATAACAGCCGTACTGAAATCAATAAAATCTTAAAGTTTTTCTACAATCTTTATCTGTCGTCACTGTCAGGAAAGGAGGATCCAAGATGGCGGTCGTGACGTCAGCGCTATCGCTTGTTGCCGAAGTAATTCAACTATAATTTCCGATATCCGAGTCGAATCGGTTCGACGACTCTCTTTGAGTATCGAGAGTACCTTTGAAAGTTGCTCGGCTCCGTACATCATAGAAACATACTGATCAATATTAAGGACAGGTGTACCGCGCTACCTTATTTTTTTGTGGTATTTTTTTTAAATTTGATTGAAAGCAAGCGGGATGCCTTCCCTCCCAAAAGAAAACCAGAAGAAAGAAACTAAAAAAAAGTTAACCGAATTGTGAACCTACTTCTTTTTTCATTCGCTGAAAAAAATACGGATGATAACGAAAATAATTAATTTCTCATGTATTGATTTTTTATAATAATTAATATCGGTTTTCTTATCAGATATTTGGTATTTCTCTTCAAACAAAATTGCCACACTATTCAAAATAAAGTATCATTCCTAGTTGGATTACGACTACCGTACTTTCTCTTATTTCCATCCGTAAATTTCCAACAAGTAATTTCCATAAGTAGTGACGTTATCTCATCTTGTTACCAAGTTTGTCAAATTCGCCTTCGAGTTGTAACTCGATAGGTGATCAAGAAGCGTTCCTGTGATAATTACTGTTCATTTTTCTGTTGATTTGCCTCCATTACGTTTAAGATTTATGTCCTTTAGCTGATTAATATTTTGTGTTTTTCCTTCTTGACGTTTATCAAGGAAATAAAAGGAGAGCTCTTGCTAATGCTGACTGATTGATCAATGGCTGGGTCTAGAAGCATGAAATTTTGCACAAATGTTCCTTAGGTGACGTCGGTGTGCACTAAGAAGGAGTTTTTTTAATTCCATCTAAATATATCTTAAATCAAAAATTAATAAACCTTTATGACTATGAAGGTTTATAACTATATCAAAGAACTAACTAAGAAAAAAACTAAAAAGTAACCGGATAGAATTCTATTCACTTTTAACTACACACTTTTGTGTTTGTGAAAGTTCGGAATGAAATAAGCTAAAGCCCCATGACAGAACATAATTAGACTCGTGATATATTATAGGCGGAGGTTTGGGAACGACTGTTAGTTACACTTAAGTCATTTCCCCTCTCCCCTCTAAGCCAAGTTCCAAGCTTTACATATTAGTTTAGTATTAAATAAATAAAAAAAAAAATTAAAAAAAAAAAAAAAAAAAATATTCTGTACGAAAACGCAGCATACAACTTAATATAAATTAATAACTTAGTACAACTTACAATAACATTACATTTTTAAGGTTTTTTTTACGTGCAACACTATACTACGCTATCTGTGGTCATGAGTTGTCTGTGAGACTGTGATTATATTTGACGTGGCGCTGACGTGGTGATCACTATTATTTTAGGTTACTATATTAGGCATGATTAGCCAGAACACTACTATTTAGTGCGGCTTCAGTTTTATATAAAATTAGCTTTTCATCTGCAACTTCGGTCTCATCGTTATTTCTAACTTTCAAACTTTCAAAAAGCGCCAGTAGCCTAGTGGTTAAAGCATTGGACTTGCGATCAAGAGGTCGTGAGTTCGAATCCTAACCAGTACGCTACCTACGTGAGCCCACTCCTAATACAAGTAATTTAGCTTAGCTGGAGGGGTTAACGGGAATACTAGTAATTTCGGTTGCTAGTAAGCCTTTACAAAAAAAACTTACGAACTTCCATAAAACAGTGTTATCTCTTTTTTACCCAAATCGAAATTAAATTGGGTGAAATTTCTTAGTAGGTGCTTACAACATAAAAATCAACTGCTGCAAAAATCTGTAGCCAAACCGGTTTAGGCTCTGCGTTGATGAATTAATCAATCAGTCAGAGCAATGAATTTTGTATATATAGATAAACAGGTACTTAAGTTATAAAGGATATTATTATACGTAATAGGTATATAGCTAGAAGACTAGAACTTCTGGCAATAATCAGTTTTAGTTGTAAGTGTGCAAGCAGGATACCTAGCTCAAGAATAATAATAATAATAATATTTTCACACATTTCACACACGGCCGTCTGGTCCCAAACTAGGCGGAGCCTGTGCTATGGTAACCAGACTGCTGATAAACATACTTATATATTTCTAAATACATACATATTATAGATAAATTACACCCTAATTAATTAATTGATTAATTATTCCTGGTTATATATCGATAACTGTGCAACTGTTACCAATAACTTTAAATTGCTTGCAGTACCCAATCTATCAGATGAATATTTTTTTGCTTCAATTACCTTTCATTCTTACCAATTTATCACTTTTTATCACTTTGCCCGTTTACCAGCAATGGACTTTGCCAACTATTCCGTAAAATACACTTCTGCTTACTCTTTCAGGAATACGTGCATGAGTGTGTATGGGTGTATTAAACCTAATTTTCTGGCTTTACGGTGTGTAACGCCATTACGAAAGTATCTTTTAATAACTACCCTCATTCAATTATAAATTAACCGCCTATTAATATAACGTTTAGGTCTATTTTCAGGACCATAATGTTTTAATTTATTCACGAATGGGACAACAGTTCCACACATGTGCCTAATCTACCTCCGCCATGAAATAGCCTTAAACGGTTGGAATTTATTATTTTTATAGCCTACATGTGCCACCTAATTGTGTTTTGGGGAGGCCCAGAAGGGCAATAGCTTTTTGGTTTTATGAAAATATTTTATTTAACAAGCTTTTATTGGCTTCACTAGTAACTAATTAACTAACTATGCAAACAAATCTTAGAATTTTAACCTACTTCTAATGTCCAATTTAATTAAATATTTGTATGTAGTACATCATCATGTCATCACTTTTTACTTTCTAATCCGATTCGTCATTAAGCGTGTTTTTTAGTTTCGCTTAATCCTTTAATTTAAGTTTTTCAGGTATATTCATTGTTATTTAATTTATATTTATCTTTTCATATTTACATTGGAATGGAAAATGTATTACCAAAAGAATTAGAACAAAGTTTCCATGAATAATAATTACAATTAGTACCATTGAGTGACTTCTAAAAAAATACTAACTAGACATGACTTAGAAAATGGGAATAAATTTTCCCTTCGTTTTTTCTAGTAGATAAAACATTGTAAGAAACTGAACCTCAATTTTTCAACATTAATTTTCTGTCTTCTGTCTGAGTCACTCACTCACTTTCCTGCATGGAGGTTTGTTTACCCACTCTTTTACTTTTCCTTACCATTTTTCAAGGAAGAGGGATTAAGAAGGGGCAATGCACTTGTAGCTCTTTAGGGTCAGATGTCTATGGGTGGGTGTAGTCACTTATGGTATAGAACGCATCCCTCTGCCACAAAAAAAATTATTTATATAGATACTTAACTTGACTTAACGATATTGTACAAGAAAAAGAACATAATTATAGAACAGTTCGCATACATTTACATGAGTCTTATAATCTAGGGACAGTAACACAAAGAAAGTAAAACTAGTTACATAAAAAAGTTGTACCGTTGGCGGCAACGTATACACTGTTGTACCCTTTGATATACTTTTATCCTGCTACCTAATTATAAGAGGTTCTATTTAATTTAAAAAAAAAATAGAAATGCAACTCCATTTACAAGTTACATGTAAAATTGAACCCCTTATTTGCAGAATGTACAAATATACATTACCACTTTAGTTCACAAATTTAAACTTTGAAAGTGAAACATGAAATTTAACTGTGAAACGAATAGTTTTGTGTGCATATGCACGAACTTAAACATTTCTACAAATATAAAATTGAACACGCGATGCAAGTATACTCGTAGCTATGAGCTACGAGTTATGTAGGAATAAAAGGCGCGTAGCACATGAATATACGTAGCGCTACGAACAAGTTTCGTCTGTTAATATTCCCTTGTATGTCTTATACTTTGTTGGATAAGGAACGTTCCTCTCATAATAATTCCCCCCTCCCTCCTCTATTCGTAGACTCACTTGGGATGGTAGTACTACATTCTAATGTATGGAATGGGAAGGGCGTTATAGTTAACAACGCGAATGTTACCTATAGGTATTGATAGACGGTAACGGCTCAACGTGTATTTTTGTATGAAGTTATAAGAAATTATATTTAAAGACACACCACTCTAAAACTGTACTAAAAAAATACATCCTTTATTTTTACTTTACTCTCATATCATTTCAGAATATTTTAATTTACCAAATTGAATATCTAATAAATTACTTATTACTATAACTATAAAGAAAAATTGAAAGTCAGTTCAATAGTATATAAAACAAACGCTCTAAATAAAAATAAATGAATGTTAATAAATAAACAACAACCATTTCACAGTTGAACCCCCTAAAAAATTCTAAAGCCTATTTCGCATTCCAAAGTCCGTTATCTACACATTTCATTGTTGCAGTGGGCTGACATTCCCCGGGGGCGAGTCCGGTATATCGGTGCCGGACACTCTCTGCACGCCCAAGTCTGTTGGCATATCAGTGGACACAAATACCTACGAGCCGCATCTACTTGCCGGCACTATGGCGCATATGATCGGACATAATATCGGTAAGTAAAACTTTTATACTACACGTACAATGTACATATAAAAGGTGTACTCCCACTGTAAAGTCCGACAGCGCATTCACAATTCTTGAGTTGCAGATGACCCGTCTGCTAGTTGCATTTTAATTTAATTATAACTTAATGCGCAAGTTGTACACAGGCGGACTTAATACCCAGGCGGTGCCAGTCTACGGCGGTGACAGTAAATCCTAAGATAAAATATAAAACTTTAAGTTATCTATAATCACATCACATTACACATCAACGGCCTATAAAAGTTCACTGCTGTACATGGGCCTCGCCTTAGAAAGGAGGTTTCAGCCTACTATAATACATAAATTGATTTAATAACTTTAAAAAAGATAAAAGTACTAATACTAAGTACTATATCATTATTTTTTTAAATCGTTATAGAAAGACAACATAGAGACTATTGAATAGACTTTTTTTGTAACTATTACATACTAGTAAGTTTTTCATTTAGGCCAATTTCGATCGTAAGACGATGCGAATAGTTTATTTAAAACCAATAATTTATTTTAATATTATGTTTTAAGGGATATAATGCAAGGAAATTTAAAGGTTTTTGAGATAATTTTAAATCATTAAACCTCTATATAACTAGGAAAAGTTAGGATAAAGTCACTTTTAAAATTAAAGTCGAAATCAATTTAGGTGTTCCGTAGGCACTCTAACGTGATTCCATAAAAAAATATTTTATCTATCAATATTTAACATTATTACGTATATATTATTACATTAGAATATGTGTTTAATTTACACAGGAATGGGCCATGACGACGGACGTGAGCAGTGTTTCTGCCGCGACTGGCACGGTTGTATCATGGCGCAGTCCATAGTTGGTTCAGACAACGTCCAGCCTTACAAGTTCTCCGACTGCTCCAAAAACGACTACATCAATGAGCTCAGAATTGGCCAAGGACTGTGTCTACTGAACAAACCTAACGAGGTAAGTTTGACATCTTGCCAAGAATTAATACTGTTATGTTCAGTGAAATTTTTCAGTTCACGCCTAACTATTATGTGATTTCGGCTACTTTATAAATGAGACTTATAATTACTCTGACTGGACTAAACACTGTTTTAACAGAGTAATAAAGAAAGTTACTTAATGTACTTAATGTAAGGTATGTTTTGAGTGCTTGTTACTCCATCCCATAAAATTAACTGGTCGGATTTAAATCAAATTTTACATACAGATAGTTTGTTAGCTATATAAGTACGGGATTAGGTTCACCTAAAGTACAGAATCTACAGTGCATTTCCACTTGAAATATAGATTTATGAATTATCTTCTGACGTAGTTTAGGTAAAGTTAACAAAGAATTCACCAGAAGCTAATTTTTAGAAATATATACAGTAGATATAAATACTATTTACATCAGTTTATACATTAACCTCAATTACTAAATAAATTAATCGTTAAACAAACAATAATTACTCAAATATAAAAAACATAATTAATAATCTTTATCCCATATATCGCTTACTTCACCTCTTCATATATACGTAGAATACGTAAAAACTATCTGTACAGCGACTTAAGTACGCTTCAAAAGACAATCGTTTCAGACGTTTATAACTCGGAGTTTTATAGTAAAAAGGTAATGACCTCACTTATTGTGTAATGGTGCCCCCTATCATTCTTTTAAATTATTATTAGTAGTAGGAAATTCCTAACTAACCATATAAATATCACGAGTCATAGGCTGAGTAAGCTTACGTCCAATTATTATAATAGCCCAGTGCAATCTGGTCGAAACCTGAGGGAATTCAAAGTTATATATTCCCTGTTACATGATCGAGTGCCCGTTTATGTGCATAATAGTATTGAATTAGTAAATGTCAAGAAATGATGATGCTATAGTGACCACATCTTTTTTTAAATGTTGTTTAAACAGTCTCACAGACTCGTTAACACTTGAAGAAGTCTGAACAGTGATAATCATAACACCCTTTCACAGAGTGTGACACGTGACAGTCCTGAGCTCGCTAAAGTCTTCAGCAGTGATAAAAATCTAGCAATCTTCCATATGCTTCTGTCATTATGTACCTATAAGATAATTTACCGTCTATAGTCTATAAAACTTACACAAAGTTACTATATATTAATTGGTCAATTAATGAATTTAGAATCTTCAGATCTGTACAAATATCTTTTTCTATCACATCATACTAGTACATTTAATATCTAGCGTGTTTACAACCTCCATTATTTTCTATATACAATAGTGAATCATCATACCTTCAATTTAAATCTTCACCTCAATACTCGTACAACGCGGGTTCAGACGTGCCTGAATTCCACAAATATGGATTTGGATATTCTGCTCAAATGCATCCGGGTACTAAATATTATTATGTATCTAATATTGTTGATCCTACGCTTCCATTTCTGGACTAGATTTTATCCGAAGATTGCATTACAAACCACTGTTCATATTGTTATTTTAAAATATTGTACGAAACAAGACTACAGATTTAAAATATTTTGTGGAATAACAATTTCTCCTCAGTAACTTTTGTGAATGATGAATTGTAAGCATTCGTTATATTTTTGTGTGTGCCGCCCACACAGATGAATAACGCTGAATTGATGGAGATGGTTCAAGCCGATCCGAGTGAAACTACACAGGAATTAGCGGCATGGTTTTACATTACCCTACCTACAATTTGGACTCATTTGTCTCAAATCTAGAAGATAAAAAATATGAAAAATGGGTGCCCCATGATTTGACTGATCTGCAGAAAGAAATGCGTGTTGAAACTTGTGTTGCCCAGTTGAATCGGTACAGAAATGAAAGAAAATTGGACAAGAACAACAGATGTTTACTGTGCCAATACCTCACTCTGCACGTGAAACCGTTGTAACCTTACAAAAGCTGCAGTTACACCTTGAATCTTTCTTATATGTAAAGTTACAATATCAAATACACATCAACAAGAGCAATAACATTAAATATTTGTCAAACCAACTTTACCGCTTTAGTATTTCATGTAAAAACTATGAGAAAATTAGGTGACTAGAAAGTCTAAAAAAATACATCACTTTTTTAAGATACACTGATCCACTATTTTATTTTTCGTCGTCCACAATAAATATTTAATTTCAAAATAGATTTACAAAATCTTATCTAGGATTAATCAGAACATTTCAGCTCAGACTACGATTAAATTAGAACAAACTACAGATAATCAATGACACAGTACTTTATATTCGAGACGAATTATTCCTACGCCTCTATTCAAATCAATCAGACTTAATTCAACAAAGATGCCTATTTTAAATTTAATTAAGTCTAAATCGTGGAATCTAATCGTGTTCACTGGAGTTTTCGCATGAAATCACTTAAAATTCTCGATTAAAAACTGAGAGTCGGGAGGGTGAACCGAGCCGGTTCAACACTCGCAGCGACAAAACCATAAAATGTAATTCGACAACCGCTCAATTATACGTACAGCCAACGATAACTTGCCGAAGTTGGTGACGTCGAAAGTTTCCGAGATCACATCGTCACACCATCCCCACTTAAACCACACCAGACTTCATTCGAATTCAAAACAGATTTTCACGTCGAAAATTAATCACTGGTTGTTGTATTGTTTGTCGTCATCCACGCTGCTAAGGCCCCCTCCTTTAATAAAAGTTATGGTAATACGGGCTGCCCTCGCCTCTAAATTATCTCTTCGTTTGCGAATATATAATAACAGGAACGAACGCCAGGCACGGTTTATTGGAATAAATTTGCATAGTCAAAAATGATAATGCCACGCCCTGGTGTTCTCCCCACTTCGATTTCTCCCGTTTACATATTTATCTCTGAATCATTGTGAATGAATGCTTTCATTTTCATGTTTATCACTTGCTTGAAGTAACACTATTGTTTTCAACTTTTCGCACATCGTGTCTTTACGTTGTACAAATTCTAGCCTTCCTTTTGTCAACTTTCAAGCTTTTAATTTATGTGGTACATGTATTTAGAGACTAATAATTAATCTATAACACTTCGCCATCAACAGCCTTTAATAGTCCGCTGCTAGATAAAAGCCTCTTCTTAGAAAGGAGGTTTCGGCCTACTATTACATACCACGCTGGCCAGATAGGTTGCGTAGCTTGCTCCGTTAGTCGGCTCTTACGACACCCACTTGATGAATGGGAGTGGTGACATTCCGTATTCTTAATTCGTTACCAAACGGACGTGATACTTCATATAAGCATATCAGACACACATAAATTACGAACGTATTTATACTTAAAATAATCATGGTGACAATAAACCCTTGGCTTTTTTCTAATTAAAAATACGTACAAAGTATTAATTTTCAAAAACGAATGATTTGTAATTTCTAGTCTCATTTATTACATACGACATTTATTACGTACGATACAGAGATATTATTTTATAAATATACAACGTAAAACCTCCAGATTTAATTTTTTTTTTATTGGTCATAACACAAATATTTCAATTATAAGAGAAAACCATTGATTTTTCAGACAGCTCAACAGAAAGTATCTTATTCATATTTGTTACGCTGACTAATTTTACAATCGTATATTTTGTCAAATCGCCCCACCTAGGTCAATTCGCCCTGAATCTTTGCTATCTAAATCCGCTGTCAAAAACAAACCCTGGAATACGCGTATCGCCGTACTATGGTGTAGTGTACGTGTCGAGCCTACCGCAGTGAGTTCCGATCGGTGATGTAAATTCAATAGCTCGGTATAGTTTGTGACACCCTTTGGGGTAAGCTAAAATGTTTCTCTTGTTCCTCTAATGGTTTTTTGACTAGATGAAGTATATGTAGTTGTTTGGGTCTTCAGAAGTAATGGTTTGTTGACTCATGAAAATTTTAATTGAATATTTTTAGAAGTAAAGTTAATAAAACTGCGTAAGAATATAATCTACCTGTTTAGGTTGGTTTGTGTAGGTTTAAAAAACTCAGAGACTTCTTCGCTTTCGTTTCGAGAGTTCGCCGCTTCCCACTGGGCTGAGTGTTGTGGGTCCGATCGAGTGATTCAGAAATTGTTATCCTAAGTCTTTTTTTTGTGTCCGTTTAATGTATGTATATTCCTAATGTGGGATTTGTCTTTAAAAAAAAAAATTCTGCACCGATTGAGCTCAAATTTTGACACGATGTATAAACCACTTCAAAGATTGTTTTTATCCAATGAGTTTTATTCCACATTTCTCAGTAATGTGCCACACTCAGTAGTGTGGCAAACAATGTGCCACATTAAATGGTAGCAGGGTACAGTTGGTTTACATATATAATTTATTTAAGGAAACGTAGCCTCAAATTATCATCTTCTCTTCTTCATCTTCTAAGGTGTTAAATTAATTTATCCTTGTTTTTCGCGGCGTCATTGAAGCTACCGTAGTCCCAAAAAGAATTAGCGGTACATTTACCATCACGTGACTCGACTATTTGTTTGCCTCCTAAAGCATAAAAAAATACAAATTAAAATCTCTCAACATATATTATTAAGCCTCAGTGAGTCCATAATACATAAACCTACATATATGAACCTCGATAATAGAATTCATTTGTCGGAATGGAAATGACGAATAATTCTATGAGTTGAACTTTCGCGTTAGTTACGAAGTTCGAGCAGATATGTCATAGAACTATAAATTCTGTCGATAGATAGGAGTTAGGGTACTATTTCATTACAGCTCTGGCACTATCGGTATCATAATTAATTGTGTTGTATATGTGACATTCGAAATTAGTACTGACGTACCTATTACCAATAGGTCCATATTTTTTTACAATTAGCAACGTAGAATATTGATTTAGTTTGCTGAAATTTGTTGCATTTATTTTCATGCACCTAAATGTTTATATATTGTTGGACTAACATCTTGAAGGAACTATCGTTCAAGATGTCTGCGTATACATGATTATCATTTACAAGAAATATATAAACACTTAGGTCTTTTAGTGTTCCATATTTTTTTGTGAAGAATTCTAAAGATGTATCGTGTTCAAAATGCATATCATAAATGCATATGACTTTCTTGACTCAAGCTATTTCTAACTCTTCTTTTGTTCTTCACTTAGTTGGTAATCCATCACCAATGCGGCAATGGCCGGCTGGACGAGGGTGAGGAATGTGACTGCGGCACTATCACCGAATGCCAGAACACTAACCCTTGCTGCGATCCCTTCACCTGCAGACTGACTAAGGAAAGCCAATGTGCTTCTGGAGAATGCTGTGATAGGTGTCAGGTGAGTCATTAATCATCACCATCTTTCTGCTCTTTTTCTGTAACTCAGTCACTAAGTAAAGAGACAGCACCACCTAGATTGATCGTCAGTCTGGACAAGAAACAAAGCTGAAAATTACCCCCACTCGTAGTCTGTTTATCACATTTAAATACAGCCTCACAGCTCAAACAGCATTAGCATTTTGTGGGAATGCCAAATGTTTTCAGAATTTACAAGGCATTCGGTACTCAGTTTTACTGATTTACGTGCTAACCAGTCCAGTGCTATGCTATGCTTGAAGTACAAAGTTAATTTGAGGAAAAAGTTTTTGACAATTATGCAAATTTGGTGGTTGGACAAAAACTGTGATTAAGTTAGGTATTATTAGAACGGACTGAATGTATAAAATAAATACGGTTTTGGAAGTTCCGTATTTTTGTGATAAATTGTTATTAATTTGACTTAATAATAAAATGTGTTACATCTACTACTACGTAAACAAATTACATTATATATTTAGGTATAGCCCAAGACTGCGTTAAAAATAGCCTTGTTAACAAAATACTAATAAAAGATTCCTTAATACCCTTCAGAAATCAAGAAGAGATAAATATCATTTATTTAAAATGTTGTCGGATATTTGACACAATTCAGAAAGTAATTCCTACTTTCTGAATTGTGTGTGAATAAAGAAGATAAAAGAAAATTGTAATAGTCATAAAAGTAACAGTTGACCTATAGGACTTAAGAACCAGTTATTTCTGGTTAAAAACCCAGTATGGAATTGAAACCCGAAATTTAAATGAACTTCAATTATTGCACTTCTTACGCAAGTATTAAGAATGTTAATAATATTTAGTAGTGTTTAATCTGAAAATATCTGACCACAAAGTTTCCTACAGCTAAAACCTCGTGGCGTAGTCTGCCGAGATGCTACCAACGAATGCGATTTGGATGAGACCTGTACCGGCCTCTCCGGCTCTTGCCCACCAGACGCGCATCGTAAAAATGGGGAGCCTTGCGAAGAAGGCAAGGGTTACTGCTTCGCTGGCCAGTGCCCTACTCTTTCACTTCAGTGCGAGAGGATCTGGGGCCAAGGAACTATTGGAGCAGATAAGGAATGCTTCGAGCAGTTCAACTCTAAGGGAGCTGTAACAGGACATTGCGGAAAGGATGGCAATGGACATTTTGTCAAGTGTGAAACTGAGTAAGTATTGCATACCCAATAAGACCTTTATACATCTCACACGCGGTTGTCTGATCCTAAATTAGGCAGAGCCAGTGCTCAGTAAACTTGACTGCTGATAGACACTACTTGAATCATCAACAGCCTTTAATAGTCCACTGCTGAACATAGGCCTCTCCTTAGAAAGGTTTTGGCCAGCTATACCACGCTGGCCAGATGGTTCTGGTTGGTATAGGGTTTGTGTCAAGTTTTCCTTGTCTTTGCAGTGCTGTTGTCCTGCGTAGTTTGCTGCCTTAGTCGGCTCTTACGACACCCACGGGATGTACAGGGGTGGTGATACTCTGTATTCTTAATCCGTCACCACACTTCTTGAATATTTCTATAATATAATCATATCATAGACTAGTAAGAAGCGGTGCTTTAGGTGGGCTTGCGAAGTTTTCGCGATTGATTACTAAATTACTCGACTAAATTACAGAAAATCGGACGTAATACGTCGATACTAATTCTTTAGTTTACTAACAAATGGCATTAGTGTTAAGTCCAATTAATAAAATATCACACATGACTTATTGGTTTTTATAATATATATGTATAAAATATCATTTCTCTGATAGATAACACATCTAGATATGAATTGATATTACCATGCCAAAGCCCAAACCTGAAAATGTAACAGTTTCTCAGTAAAGTGTACCACCAAAATTCATAGATTGTGAGATAGTATTAGGGCTCACTTCGTCACCCTGATAAATTATACCCAGACATTGTTTTGGGGGAGAATAGAACCTACGACCTGTGGCTTAGCAGTCAGCAACACTAACCACGAGACTACAAGTAATAGTTTGTTCAGGGATTTATATTTCTAACAATATTTTACTACATAAACACGCTTCCTTATGCTCAAGTTTTGAAAATCCGGATATATTATCAACTTTTATCATATCTAAAGAAACCTATATCCAGCCCGTGGTCTACTAATGGCTGTTGATGATGATGATGATGAATCTTTTCTCTTAATAAATATTTATTTTACTTAATAAATAATTACTAAGTTTACATCGTCAGTTTCAAATAAACTGAGGTCTCGATGTTAAAAAAAAAAACAAAAAAACTTCGATACTTTTGGATTCCACAATACGACCCTTCAAAATAACCACACAGTTTCCTAACACCTTGTGGAATGCAAAATAAAATTTTAATTTATAAAGTGTATAATTAAATAGTACGATGCCATTATATCGTTCAGAATATCGATAAAGTGGTATTAATTTCGATGTGTGAAACAGGAACGTGCGGTGTGGCTCGCTGCAGTGCCAGCTCGGCAACAGGTATCCGATAGTGACCGGCATGGACGAGTACTACACGAGAACTGTCATCAGCATCAAGGGCAACGAATATGAGTGCAAGTGAGTTAATGTTACCAGGATATTAAAAAAAACTATTAAAAACTTTTTATTTATAATAATTAAAAAAATAATTGAGTTGCAAATCATATAAAAAAACTATTGCCTTTATTTTTTTAATTTGAATTATTAAGAGTACTCTTGCAACAAATAATTTGAATCAATATTTTAAATATTAGTATATTTTTTTAAACAATTAAAATAATTTCAGAGCAACAACTGGCTTGCCCAAGCACTCAGAGATAGCCCCACTCGGTCTCGTCCGGGACGGTACCCCTTGTGGCGACAACTTGGTCTGCGTCAACCAAACCTGCACATCCATCTTTCCCTACATCGACCACACCAAATGCCCCACGGACCACAACAACAACGAGTGCTCTAGCAAGGGGGTGAGTACAATAAAATAAGCTTTATCTATCAACTTTAAAGTCTATATTGCAATAATCTGTAACTCATCTAAAGTTAAAGAAAATAGCGTGGAATTACTCAGACTAACTCGTCTTTATATTGCCGACTGTACTTGTACGAGAACCGTTTATATTCTGCGAAAGAAATTTAAACAGACAACGAACTTAACAGATCGTAACTACCTTAAACTACCGTTACCGTCAAAAACTCATAAGTTATTTCCGATGCGCGATGTGTTTTAAGTAAAGAAAAAATTCTTTACTTTTTGTTTTATAACTTATTTCTTACACATCCATATCTAACCTTTGTAAATAAAAATCAATGTTAGTATGTTTGACCTATACTTTCTGAAACCAACTGTGGTAAAATATTGGTAGGATGTCTTAAAGACGCTCGCAAGGGTTCCTGCCTCAACAAAATCCATATTTAAATGATATTTTTTATTTATTTATTTTATACTTTATGCACAAATGTGACACAGGCGGACTTAATGCCGTAGGCATTTTCTACCAGTCGACCTTAGGGCGATGCAGAGTCAAAAAAATGGTAGATGCACAGAAATTAGAAATGTGATTTAAAAGAAAAAAAAAAAATAATACTATAAATAGAATATCATATGCACAGGGCACTTAAATAAATTGCATTAGAATATATTTTAATAAAAGAGATACATACATATATAATAGGTAAATAATACATAAGTATTTATGTTTACATAATAATATACATTTATACATACATATAATTATACATATTATATATATATACATACATACACACAATAAATTCTAGAAGAGAGAGGTATCAAGGTAGATCTGATAAGGAGTTTAAGATATGTTTCCGCAACAGGTATTTAAAAGTTTGCCGATATTGGGTATGAGTACAGATAAGATAAAAATATAAATTATATACTAACGTGTTAAATTAGTTTAATAATAGTTGTAGCCCCACAACTGCATTGGGTTTCCTGTAAGGATTGTGTGGGATGTGTTTGTGATAAATAAAGTAGTAAGAGAAATGAAATTTTATATCCATTTTATGTACTTATTAAATATCAGTGATTAATAATAGGACTATATTTTTGTTACTTATATTTTGTTGTAGCTTATACTAATTATTTAATGCCTTTAAAAGGTTTTCAAGAAAAAAAACAGTTGTTTTTCGGGAACATGGACGTATAAAAAAAATCAGAGAGATTCTCGCTAACTTTTTGTTAGTGAGACTCTCTCCGACTTGTCTGTGTCACTCATTGTCGGCCAGCTCGTTGTACGTACAGGCCGGTACGCACACTTACGCACATTAGTCAGCCATTACGCTCGCAAACATCAAGACAGCCAGACGCATTACGTGGCGAAAACATATAAATATACAACATATTTTGCGTAGTGAAATGCTGTAAAACCGTACTGACCGAAAGCAAAATAATCCAGGAATCACGTTTCATAGGTAAATAAATAATTCAATCACTTATTTCCAGATTTTAAATATTAAAATTAATTAATCAGCCTTTGCTAGAACAAAAGAATTTATTATGATCCCACTGTTGCCAATTTTCACCTGTGCAAATTACCCGAAAAAAAGTAAATTTTTGGTTTGTTATTAAAATGAATTTATTAAGGTTATTTATTAAATAGTTACTACTAGGTATACTATTACATATTCTTTTACTGAATTTTCTAAAGAAAATGGAGTACGGAGAAATGATTGGATTTAAATACTTAGAAATTGTAATAGTCAAAATAAAATAATTTATAAAAACATTCATAAATATTAATGTAAATTTGAAACATCACAATTTCCCAAGTTCTGGTTCGCATGTTGCCACTCTAAACATATAAAATCCAATATGCGGTAGCAAAAATTGAATAACACAAGCCGTATGCCGCCACTCAAACTATTAAAAAGTAACTCCGCGTACCTCTACGGTATTCATGCATTATGAAGTAAAAATATAAGGTATACCTATATACCTACCTATATACTAGCAGACCCGACAGACTTTGTTCTGTACACACGTCTTAAACTAAAAAAACATTTTGTAGTGGACCGATTTATGAATCTAAACCATTCTTGAATCCACTTGAACACACACCAAAAAAATCATCAAAAACGGTTCTGCCGTTTAGGAGGGCTTCAGCACATACACACGAATTATATATAAAGATATATATAATACACACTATCCTTGCTTTCTTAAAGAAGATAAATCGTTTGATAAAACGATATTTTTAGAAAAACCTTCGTTTTCGTTACTTGTATTACAGTATTTACACAAAGAAACACATACTTACGTAAAACCTTTTTTGACAGGTTGGTTACAGAAAATTTTTGCTTTAATTAGAGCCATCAGCCTATCTTAATGAAATGATGTAACCGCTTGCCAAGACGGGAACAGTGTGCTTTTTTGGTAGCTTAATTAAGATATAACTTGTAAAACAAATATAAGTATCTACAATACATACAGATTATTGATTTAATCTTTTGAGAGCCATGCGACTTCACAGAAAACCGTTGTTAAGCAAGTCTTTCGTTGGTTTTCACCGAGTGTGAGTGTTTATTGGAACTTATACCCTCCCCCCCATTCCCCCAGAGGGTGGTTCGAACTTAAAAGTGTGACAACGTACTTATGACTCTTGAGTTACTGCCGTCACTTACCATTAGGTGACCCGTCTGCTTGTTTGCCTCCTATTCCATAAAAAATAATCGATTTAATTTAATAAGTCCCAATTAGATTTCATTCGAGAACAATTTTTGAAGTTAGAAGCTTCAAAAATTGTAAAGGTAAGGTAAAGGAACCAACCCGTCTGGCCAGCGAGGTTTAGTAGGCCAAAACCTCCTTTCTTTCACTAAATCGATAATTTTTTGACGTCAGAGTGATAGCAATGCACACATATAACACTGCGGCTTGGCACCTTGAGCATCGCGAACAGCTTACATCTGACATGTTAAGTTCATATTTGGAATACAATATGTCTGAGATTAAGTGCAATTTTAATGTGTACAAGTGTACAAGATTGTTATATAATCACGCGGGTATCTTAGATTATCCCGAGTCTTGTGTAGTGTGTTATAGAGTGAAATATTCCTGGTCTTGTGTTACATACGAGTATACGTATGATGAGAATTTTGTCATGGACTGTCAGTTATAGAGAAATTATAAGTAGACATTAAAGCTAATTATTTTTCTTTACATTCACATCAAAAGCCTTTAATAGTCCACTGCTGGACATGGCCTCTCCTTAAAAAGGAGGTTTTGGTCTACTATACCACGCTGGCCAGACGGGTTGGTATAGGGTTTGCTTCAAGTTTTCCTTCTCTTTCAGTTTACTCCCTTAGTTGGCTCATAAGACTCCCATGGGATGAATAGGGGTGGTGTACAGCAATACATGGTGGCACTATGATACTCATTAATAAGAAACTTAAATTTAAAGAGCGCCATGACATTGTTAGTTTATCAGTTGAGCGAACTACAGAAATAGCCTGTTTAGAACTAAAAGGTTTCATAGTAGTATGTGTATACAGACCTCCTTCAGCTATGTATGATTGTTTTGAACGTGTTATGGATGAAGTATTAGTTAAAGTAACAAGATCAAAAAAGAAGGTCATCATCTGTGGTGACTTCAATATTAACCTATTGGAAAATTCAAGTATAGTAACCAAGTTCAAGGCACTTTTTCAATCATACAATCTGAAGAACTTGTTCTTGGAGCCTACACGAATCACTGCCACCACTGCCACATGTTTGGACAATATATTTACAGATATTGTTATTAAGGACAAGAAAATAATCAATCAATTACATTCTGACCACTGTGGTCAATTAGTATCTTTCTGTGATAGGTATGAAAAAGTGTCAGAAAAAAGAATTGTGGTGATACCTAAAACCGCAAAGCGTTGTGAAAACTTTAAGGATAAACTTAAAGCTGCTTTAAATAATTCAGTACTCTGTGTAGAGAATAACCCTAATACTTATTATAATAGTTTTTTTGAAACTTTCTCTTCAACATTTAACACCATTTTTACACCAAAAACGCTAGTGGTTAAAGGTAACGCCACATTTAGTGAATGGGCTACCCCTGGCTTACTCAAAAGTAGGAAAAGATTATACGAGCTATACGATGAGAGGAATTATAATAAAAGTGAACAGTTTCATAATTATGTTAAAGAATATTCGAAGCTGTTTAGGAAACTTTGTAAACTGGCTAAGTCTCGTTTTATTAGTTCAAAGATTAAAAGTAGTAATGATAAGATTAAAACCACTTGGAAAATTATTAATAGTGAAACTGGCAGAGATCCAAACCGTGATAATGAATTTAATTTAAACATAAACAATAAATTTATCACATCAAATGCTGAGGTTGCTGCTGCATTTGAGAATTTTTTTACTAACATTCCTGTATCAACTACTAAATCTTTGAACTCCTCACCATACCTTGCAGAATCAATTTTAAAAGAGAATGTTAGAAGAATTGATAGTGAATTTAAGTTCCAATATGTGTCCCCCTTTGAAATTATTAAAGCCTTTAACACTATTAATGTTAAAAAAAACAACCGACCTATGGGGAAATTCTGTTTTAATTACTAAGACAATTATATCTCTTGTGGCTAATCAATTGTCATTTACATTTAATCAATGTGTTGATAGTGGTGTATTTCCTGATCTTATGAAGTCTAGTAAAATTATTCCCTTATTCAAATCTGGTAGTACATCTGACCCAACTAACTTTAGACCTATCTCAGTACTACCAGTATTTAGTAAAATTTTTGAAAAAATTATGTATGATCAATTGCACAGTTTTTTTAATAATAATAATTTATTGCACAATAGACAATTTGGTTTTACAAGGGGTCGCTCCACAACTGATGCTAGTGTTGAGCTAGTAAAACATATATTTGATGCCTGGGAGGATGCCCACGATTCTCTAGGTATCTTTTGCGATTTATCTAAGGCTTTTGATTGTGTTGTTCATGAAACGCTGAT